GATGTAGAGAAGTATCACATTTTGTAGCATCAGTGGGTGGGCTGTTCATTTTGTAGGATCTCATATTTGAAAGAGTGCAAACTTTTGATTTGCCATGTGTTGATTGAATGCTGATACGAGCCTGTAGAAGTTTAATTATGGACGCAATCTGTGTGAAATGCTCTGGTCATTTGCTAACCGATTTGTTTTGGAACCTTTGGTTATAAATTATTCTCACATAAGATCTCTTGATATCTTGTGATGTCTTGAAAGATTTTTACACATCATGTTTTCTGCTTGGTTCTTCTCTCGGGGGGGGCCTGCCCAACTGCCCTTAGGCCCACAGCGAGCACAAGATCCTGGAGAAGCCTGATGGCGATGGAATCAAACCTGGTGAAGTTGCTTGGCCCATAGTGTGTCACCCGGGACCCATGGCCCACCCTCGATCACCCTGGGATGAAAGTGAGGTGCTTTCAAACAGGTCAATCTCTTACTACTTTGTGTATAAACAATGCATTTTTTGATCCAAATCAAGGATGTTGCCTTGCAGGAGGTAGTTTGTGACAGGTGCATGTCATTTTGTAGTGGAGCCTGCAAAGCCTTGTAATCAAGCCTATCAATGAATTACACAGAAAATGCAGGTGAGATCAGGTGAGGTGGTTTGAAGTATTGCTGATGTTACCTTCAAACACCTCCAAGTACCTCCAATCTTTTTGTTGCACCGGCAATTGCTCAGGAAGCAGATGCAGACATGAACATGACGGACATGGAGCCACCAGAGAACAAGACCCCTGCAGAAGCTGACACTTGTCCCTGGAGAGCAGGGTTGGATGTAGAGAAGTATCACATTTTGTAGCGTCAGTGGGTGGGCTGTTCATTTTGTAGGGTTTCAGATTTGAAAGAGTGCAATCTTTTGATTTGCCATGTGTTGATTGAATGCTGATACGAGCCTGTAGAAGTTTAATTATGGACGCAATCTGTGTGAAATGCTCTGGTCATTTGCTAACCGATTTGTTTTGGAACCTTTGGTTATAAATTATTCTCACATAAGATCTCTTGATATCTTGTGATGTCTTGAAAGATTTTTACACATCATGTTTTCTGCTTGGTTCTTCTCTCGGGGGGGGCCTGCCCAACTGCCCTTAGGCCCACAGCGAGCACAAGATCCTGGAGAAGCCTGATGGCGATGGAATCAAACCTGGTGAAGTTGCTTGGCCCATAGTGTGTCACCCGGGACCCATGGCCCACCCTCGATCACCCTGGGATGAAAGTGAGGTGCTTTCAAACAGGTCAATCTCTTACTACTTTGTGTATAAACAATGCATTTTTTGATCCAAATCAAGGATGTTGCCTTGCAGGAGGTAGTTTGTGACAGGTGCATGTCATTTTGTAGTGGAGCCTGCAAAGCCTTGTAATCAAGTCTATCAATGAATTACACAGAACATGCAGGTGAGATCAGGTGAGGTGGTTTGAAGTATTGCTGATGTTACCTTCAAACACCTCCAAGTACCTCCAATCTTTTTGTTGCACCGGCAATTGCTCAGGAAGCAGATGCAGACATGAACATGACGGACATGGAGCCAGCAGAGAACAAGACCCCTGCAGAAGCTGACACTTGTCCCTGGAGAGCAGGGTTGGATGTAGAGAAGTATCACATTTTGTAGCGTCAGTGGGTGGGCTGTTCATTTTGTAGGGTTTCAGATTTGAAAGAGTGCAATCTTTTGATTTGCCATGTGTTGATTGAATGCTGATACGAGCCTGTAGAAGTTTAACTATGGACGCAATCTGTGTGAAATGCTCTGGTCATTTGCTAACCGATTTGTTTTGGAACCTTTGGTTATAAATTATTCTCACATAAGATCTCTTGATATCTTGTGATGTCTTGAAAGATTTTTACACATCATGTTTTCTGCTTGGTTCTTCTCTCGGGGGGGGCCTGCCCAACTGCCCTTAGGCCCACAGCGAGCACAAGATCGTGGAGAAGCCTGATGGCGATGGAATCAAACCTGGTGAAGTTGCTTGGCCCATAGTGTGTCACCCGGGACCCATGGCCCACCCTCGATCACCCTGGGATGAAAGTGAGGTGCTTTCAAACAGGTCAATCTCTTACTACTTTGTGTATAAACAATGCATTTTTTGATCCAAATCAAGGATGTTGCCTTGCAGGAGGTAGTTTGTGACAGGTGCATGTCATTTTGTAGTGGAGCCTGCAAAGCCTTGTAATCAAGCCTATCAATGAATTACACAGAAAATGCAGGTGAGATCAGGTGAGGTGGTTTGAAGTATTGCTGATGTTACCTTCAAACACCTCCAAGTACCTCCAATCTTTTTGTTGCACCGACAATTGCTCAGGAAGCAGATGCAGACATGAGCATGACGGACATGGAGCCACCAGAGAACAAGACCCCTGCAGAAGCTGACACTTGTCCCGGAGAGCAGGGTTGGATGTAGAGAAGTATCACATTTTGTAGCGTCAGTGGGTGGGCTGTTCATTTTGTAGGGTTTCAGATTTGAAAGAGCGCAATCTTTTGATTTGCCATGTGTTGATTGAATGCTGATACGAGCCTGTAGAAGTTTAATTATGGGCGCAATCCGTGTGAAATGCTCTGGTCATTTGCTAACCGATTTGTTTTGGAATCTTTGGTTATAGACTAATTGATTATTCTCACATAAGATCTCTTGATATCTTGTGATGTCTTGCAAGATTTTTACACATCATGTTTTCTGCTTGGTTCTTCTCTCGGGGGGGCCTGCCCAACCGCCCTTAGGCCCACAGCGAGCACAAGATCCTGGAGAAGCCTGATGGCGATGGAACCAAACCTGGTGAAGTTGCTTGGCCCATAGTGTTTCACCCATGGCCCACCCTCGATCACCCTGGGATGAAAGTGAGGTGCTTTCAAACAGGTCAATCTCTTACTACTTTGTGTATGAACAATGCATTTTTTGATCCAAATCAAGGATGTTGCCTTGTGGGAGGTAGTTTGTGACAGGTGCATGTCATTTTGTAGTGGAGCCTGCAAAGCCTTGTAGTCAAACCTATCAATGAATTACACAGAAAATGCAGGTGGGATCAGGTGAGGTGGTTTGAAGTATTGCTGATGTTACCTTCAAACACCTCCAAGCACTTCCAATCTTTTTGTTGCACCGGGAATTGCTCAGGAAGCAGATGCAGGAATGAGCATGACGGACATGGAGCCAGCAGAGAACAAGACCCCTGCAGAAGCTGACACTTGTCCCGGAGAGCAGGGTTGGATGTAGAGAAGTATCACATTTTGTAGCATCAGTGGGTGGGCTGTTCATTTTGTAGGGTTTCAGATTTGAAAGAGTGCAATCTTTTGATTTGCCATGTGTTGATTGAATGCTGGTACGAGCCTGTAGAAGTTATTTATGGACGCAATCTGTGTGAAATGCTCTGGTCATTTGCTCAACGATTTGTCTTGGAATCTTTGGTTATAAATTATTCTCACATAAGATCTCTTGATATCTTGTGATGTCTTGAAAGATTTTTACACATCATGTTTTCTGCTTGGTTCTTCTCTCAGGGGGGGGCCTGCCCAACCGCCCTGAGGCCCACAGCGAGCACAAGATCCTGGAGAAGCCTGACGGCGATGGAACCAAACCTGGTGAAGTTGCTTGGCCCATAGTGTGTCACCCATTGCCCACCTTCGATCACCCTGGGATGAAAGTGAGGTGCTTTCAAACAGGTCAATCTCTTACTACTTTGTGTATAAACAATGCATTTTTTGATCCAAATCAAGGATGTTGCCTTGCAGGAGGTAGTTTGTGACAGGTGCATGTCATTTTGTAGTGGAGCCTGCAAAGCCTTGTAATCAAGCCTATCAATGAATTACACAGAAAATGCAGGTGAGATCAGGTGAGGTGGTTTGAAGTATTGCTGATGTTACCTTCAAACACCTCCAAGTACCTCCAATCTTTTTGTTGCACCGGCAATTGCTCAGGAAGCAGATGCAGACATGAGCATGACGGACATGGAGCCACCAGAGAACAAGACCCCTGCAGAAGCTGACACTTGTCCCGGAGAGCAGGGTTGGATGTAGAGAAGTATCACATTTTGTAGCGTCAGTGGGTGGGCTGTTCATTTTGTAGGGTCTCAGATTTGAAAGAGTGCAATCTTTTGATTTGCCATGTGTTGATTGAATCTTGTTGAAACGAGCCTGTAGAAGTCTAATTATGGACGCAATCTGTGTGAAATGCTCTGGACATTTGCTGAACGATTTGTTTTGGAGGCTTTGGTTATAGATCATTCTCACATAAGATCTCTTGATATCTGGTGATGTCTTCAAAGATTTCTACACATTTATGCATATTTTTCTGCTTGGTTCTTCTCGCGGGGGGGGGCCTGCCCAACTGCCCTTAGGCCAAACCTGGCGAAGTTGATCGAGAACCACGTCGCAAAACAGAGGAGGTGCTGGAGCAGATTGGCAAGAGGCTTCGATCTTCTGCAGCAGCTGATTTGGAGGTGAAACAGGAGCCAGAAGAATTTGCCGGAAAGCAAAGGTTTCCAGATCCAGCCCTGGCAAAATGCATAGTGCCTTGGCCACTCTGATTGCATGGCAAGAATGCCCTTCATAGATACTCAATCCATCTTAGGGGATGGTAGAGACAGGGTTGGATTACCAATATCAAAGGCTGCTTCCAAACAGGTCAATCTCTGACTGCTTTGTGTGCAAAGAATGCATTTTTTTATCCAAATCAAGGATGTTGCCTTGTGGGAGGTAGTTTACGACAGGTGCATGCCATTTTGTAGGCATTGGTTGTGTAAGGATGCTGCAAAAAGGTAGGCAGCTTTGTGGCCCATGATGGTTGCTCTGGGTTTTGTAGCCTAAATCAGCATGCCTTTGAATTTTGTAGCCTTGGATGGTTAGAATTGCCAAGATTGACCAAGATTATCTTCAACTGTTTTGTTTCATTCTGTTTCAACATCGCTGTGCGTCCTGCAGGTCAGATATGCGCAGCATCTACGCAAACCTTCTGTGTACCTCGGACTTGCCGACCTTGCAATGTACTCGATAGCCCGGAACAAGCACATAGTTATCCTTTTCTATGACAATGAAACCGAGGGCAACCCTGTGTACCGTTCCTTGCTGCAAGCTTTGAATGACCTTCTGGATGCTGTTCCTGGTGCTCCTAAGTTCACATTTCCAGAGGAAGCCGATCCCTTGTCACCTGGTGCTTGGATCATAGCTGCTTGTAGATGTGATTTTGTCAAAGCACCATTCCCGAATCTCAACCACTACCTCCCTGTTTATCCACGGTTGCAGCTGGGTGACGACTGGGAGCCAGCAGTTGCTCAGGTCCAGGAGCGGACTTTGTGCTGTGTGTTGTTTACAGCTATGTCATTCTGTAGGGATTTACCATACGATGTTCATTTTGTAGCCTCCATTCATATCCATTCTTTAGTCTAGATATCTAGGTAGGTGATGATGGAATGTGATGCTGATGGTGGCTGATAGCCAGTAGGTGACCTTTGTTTTCCATGGAAAGAAATGAAGACGTTAAAACATGTCTGGGGGACCCCATGAGTGCAATGCCATGCCGTCATTCAGGAGAAACTTCAGAAACGGATTGCCAGCTGCCAGAGCAGGCTTCGAGCTCTTGCGGATGAGGAGTCTGACAATGAGTGGCAGGAATCTCTTGCTCAACATTTGCAACTTTGGGAGAGGAAGAAGGTCTTCTATGATCTTTTGATTGGCATGGACTTGCTTCCAAGTGAAGTTCCAGCAGATGGTTCCTGTGCTCTTTGGTCCTTGTCTGCCATGATGGCTGGATGCGCGATACGAACAGCTCTGACAACCCCTGACAAGATCGAAGGGATGCGCCAGGACAGGGCCTTCAAACCCAGAAATACCTTTGTTAAATGATTTTCGCATATTTTTGCATATCATTGACATGAAGGACTTTTTAAATAGGTGTTAGACTGATGCATCAACTTTCTGTAGAAGAGCATAGAATAGCATATGGCTGCATACATTGGTGCCATTCTTCCAGGAGGTCGCAGCACTGTGGGAGTCGTGCTGTGACAATCCCCTTTGGCAAGCTGTGTTTTGGGCAACAGACTTAGTCAATGAGATTCCTGCCGATCCTGCTGGGCAGCCCTTCAGCGGAGCAGGTCAAGCTGAACCTGTTGGCGCTGAGCTACCTCCACCAGAGAGAACACCTGAGAAGAAGAAGAAGAAGAACAAGAAGGCGAGTCCGAAATCACTGACGCCTGAGAAACCAAAATCTGCTCGACGAAGGAGGGTGCCACATGTGGACAATGCCACACCAGCTGACTTTGGCCAACCTCGCAAGATTGATCCGACCTTGCAAGCTGCGAGGAAGAAGAGGACAGTGTCGCAAGCATTTTCCATGCCAATCCAAGAGGTGAAGAAAGTTTCTGCCCACCCCGATGATACGTTGGCATTGGAAGATTCTGGATCAGAGGACTGATGGATCAGAAACAGCACATACACATCACATCACCCATGAACTCATGAACAAAATAATTCATTTTAACTTCCAGCGACCTTTTGGAACTGTACAAAAAACAAGGTGTTAAATATATCAATGCGGGGAGGCATAGCTTTGCAGCAGGAATTCTGCTTGAGTCCCTTGCAGGAGGAAAGGCAATTTGGCATATCTCGCGAGGCCCACAAACGTAGCTGCTTCAAGAAGACCATCAGCCAGAGCGAGCGCCAGTCCCAGGCTATCAAGATGTACCTCATGGACATTGGCATCACTTGGCCGGCCTTCCAAAAAATGCACACGAGGTTGGATGTTCAAAGAAGAAAGGCGGTTTCAAACAGGTCAATCTCTTACTACTTTGTGTATAAACAATGCATTTTTTGATCCAAATCAAGGATTTTGCCTTGTGGGAGGTAGTTTCTGACAGGTGCATGTCATTTTGTAGGGTTAAAGGATGCTGTAATGTTAATTGGTAGGTATGTTAGTTGCCCATAGTGACCCATGATCATTGTGAATGGCCTTTTGTAGCTGCAATTAAGCCCTGTGCTTTTTGTAGACTTAGATATATAGTAGGTAGAATCACCAACATGGACCAAGATACTTATTTTATCTTATTTTCTCTTTGCCATGAGCAGACAGGTTTGCTCCGATGAAGAAGTTGAACCGCTGCACAGATGATGGATTTCAATCTGTTCAGAACAAGCTGTTGCAGGGCAAGGAGATCAAGTGTGAAGCATGTCTGGAACTCTTGAGAACACGCAAATTCTGTGCAGATAGTCTACAAGAACAAATTGATGCTGTCATGAGCGGAGAGGTGAACCCAAAGGAGCGTTTTCAGAGAGATGCCGAATCTGGACATCAAGATCCTGAACTTCACTGCATCCCGAAAAAGAAGAAGGCCAAGAAAGACATTGAGAATGTCGATGACGAACAGGATCTTAACAATGGCCCTGAAGCCTGCATAGCCTTCCTCAAAGAGTACGAGGGGGTGATCGAGCTGCTTCCTCCAGGCACTGCTGGCAAGAAAGTTCCTTACCGGTGCTTAGTTTGCAAGTCCAGGGCACAACCACTGGGCAGAATCGGAGAACTCACGCAGATGAGGATGTGCTATGTCAAACACTTCATCACGCAGCACACTGAAAAGTGCAAGGCGCATCTTCGAAACCTGAGAACCTTGAAGGAGATGGAGCAGATGAGGCCTCGCGTGGCATGTGAAGCACTTTGCGTGAGCGATGCAGACACAGCTGGCAAGCTGTACTGTCACAGGGATATTTTCGACTTGTGGGCCAGCATCTGCAACTTTCAAGGTTGTGCCAAGCACACATACTGGTGTGAGTCCAACAGTGGCGACTGGTTCATACGCTCCATTGACTGTGAGAAGGAGACGGATCAAGTACCAGGGGAACGCAGTGTGTGTTCTGCATGCAAGAAGCTGGGAGAGCCATCTTCTGCCCCTCGGATCATTGTTTTTTGAGCATGCTTTGGGTTATGTTCCGACCCCTGCATTCCATTTTGTAGACATGAAATTCCACAGGTAGCCAAAGATTATGTAGTGTGATGATGGGTTGATGATGGAAAAGCATGACATTTTGTAGCTCTATGTAGCTCTAAAGAATATGCTTTGCTTTTTGTAGTTCCATCTCTTAAAGCCTAGGTGGTACGATCCCCTCTTCGGTTCGCAGTCAAATTCTTCATATCCCACCTCCTGAACGCAAAGATGTTTGGAGGAGAGGCCAGGGTCAAGGAGATCACTGAGGATATCAAGGCCTCTTCAGTTTACCAGAGGGATTCAAAGCTCAAGTCTTTGATGGGCCTGGAAACGCACCTTATGCAACAATGGGTGCGAGCATCATGCCAGAATGATGGAATGGGAAACAAGCGCTACAAGCAGTTTTTCAACAGCATTGTGAAGCCAACGCTCAACATCAGTGTCAGCAGCATCCCTCAGAACTTGGAAGACATTGTTGGGCGACTGACAGCCATAATCAAAGGACAGGAAGCAAGTGAAGAGGACCAGGTCCGGCTGAAGGTCGCTTGCTCGGCCATCCATGGACACTTGGAATCGAATCCATTGATCACTGGATTGGCATTGGCATGCACCAGGATGAGCGAGAAGCAATCGCGCAACATTTTCACCTTGGCTGGAAGGAAGGACAACACCTGCACTGAAAGAGAGCGATCCCTCCTTGCAGATGCCGGAATGCAACTTGCAATGGCAAGTTGCAACACAGGCCTGGCACGAGAATGCGGGTTGTCATCTACAGCTTTGAAGCTGTCCTTGGACGAACTTCATCTCAACTCTCTACCTACACCAGCTCTCGCGGTGAGATGGCCAGAGATCCTCCAAGAGAACTTTCAGCTGCTTGATCAGAGGTTCCTTCGACCAGAAGAAGCACCAAATCGTCACTTGCAGTAATTTTGGCACATGCTACATGCTTTTTCAATCGGCTGTGCTTTCAAACGGCTCAATCTCTTACTACTTTGTGTGCAAAGAATGCATTTTTAAATCCAAATCAAGGATGTTGCCTTGTGGGAGGTGGTTCACGACATATGCACACCATTTTGTAGGAAAAGCCACCCCCAAAGATGAATTGAATTGAAGAATAGTTTCAGGGATTTCCCATTTGGTGGCTCATGATTGCTGCCCATGATGTTTTGTAGTTTTGAAGCAAATGCAGTGCTTTCTGTAGCATGCCAAGGCCGATTGTGTGCAGCATTTGATGCAACCTACATAACAACCACTTTGGCCCAACTTGCCCTGCACAAGGAGAAGGGAATGGTGGGTGGAGTCTGGAATGTGGGGGAGACAGATCAAAGCTTCTTGGACTTGGCGCAAGACATCAAGGTGGACCGCGTCAACAAAGCTTCAAGCATTTTGGAAGTAGTTCTGTGGGATCCAGCTGCAGTTCGACGAGTTCAATTGCCTGTGGCAACAACCCCAATTGAAACGAACTTCAGTGGCCCTGGAAGCACAATGCGTGGTTGCTGGTTCATGTTGGAGCTGATGGGGATGATCTTGAAGGAAGGGGCCGACATCATTCGTTGCATCACTTTCGATGCCCATGGATCACACAGCATGATCCGAAAGATCTTGCATGGCCAAAACGATGGCTCCTACGACGATGCACTTCGACTCCCCTTCTGGAGGGATTTGGAATGGGTACACCTTCCTTCATCATGCCTGCCTCGGTGCCCCATCAAAATCTGCATGCACAACAACGAAGCCATCTACGGCATCCCTGGGGTTTGATCCTCTCCTGAATTCAGAATGTTATTTGGACGAATTCCTTTTAGTAGTTTCTTTTTCAGGCCATGCTTTTTGTAGCAACTCAGAATCACTAACTCTGATAACTTGAGCTATGTATGCTGAGGTCATGCCAGTAAAAACACCGGAAGTGCCCTGACGTCATGGATCCGGACCTGTTTTTACGGAGACTACTGGGCCGACTGCACTATGAGCCGTCAATATGGCTTACCACCTGGAGTGATGGGGAGGGAGTGCCCCCAGTCAGACAAGGCACAGGCAATCCTGATGAACCCATTCTTTTTGGTCAGCTCGGTGGTTGCTTGGCATCTTTGGAAAAGATGTTCTTTGATGTTTGTTCAAGTCGAGTTTGAAGTTGGTTTATGTTGGATGATTTTTTGGGGCACCATGAAATACAAGGATCTTTTTGTGGAAAAAAAGGATGGTGTTCCCACAAACTCAAGAATAATGTTTCGAGATGTTTCGAATTGGAGAGACAGTCAGTGCTTTTTGTAGTGTTTCATTGCGCATAGTATTTTGTAGTTGCTTTCTATCTCTTGCTGTCCCAGGATTGTGCACTCAGAGACATGCAGACTCCATGGGCCCTGAGGGGCTGTCTCTTACACAATCTCTGCGTGCCTTGTCCTGGCCTGTGACAATGATGAGCTCACAACAATTTTTTCTTTACATATAAATGCAAATATATGTATATATATATATGTATGTATATATGTATATATGTATATATATATATGATATATATATATATATATACATACACATACATATACATACTGTATATATACATTATCTATACATAGATACATACATAGCGCCATGTACACCTATTTGCAATTTACATCCTTTTATTTACATCCTTTTACATCAATATGGTCTCTACCACTATTTCATATCTTTCAGCATGGCCAAAGATTTGTTTTTGGATCGTTGTGGGGAAACTTCTGTGCACTTCATGAGGTCGCTTTGTGCCAGGGGGCTCTCTTGCATCGAAACCTCTCGCTTCAATCTCGCTGCGAATGCGGGTTGGCAGGCTTCTTGCTCCTTGATTTGTACAAGATGTTGTCAAATCAGAGGTCTTCACGGCTGGGTCAACCACGTGGATCCATGTTCATGTCTCCACAAACGATGTATAACATCCAGGGCGTATCCCTC